GGGGGCCAAAGAGCGGCCGCTCCCTTCAAGGGAGGGAGGACGGGGTGGCTGCAGCAGGGGTGGGATGTTGCTCACCGAGCAGCTTCAGGGAAAAAAAAAGCTTGTGGGAAAAGGAAAAAGAAAGTGAAAATAGCAAAAACTGAAGACAGCTGGCACAGGCTCCTCTCACAACCGTTTATTGCCAGGCAAGCGGGATGCCAATGCCGCCGGCACAATGCTGGTCCCCCAGGGAAAGATTCTCCAGCCCTGTGTGTCCCCTTGGGCCATCACTGCCTTCATCACTGCAGCGCTGGGGACACCTGGGAGAGAAGATGGGCTGCGGCAATGCTCGGCCTGGGTGGGCACCGGGGACCCGGGGTGGTGGTACCCGCCGCGGCGGTGGCACCCACCATGGCACCCGGGAGCTGTCCCAGCCCCAGCAGAGCAAGGGCAAAGTGGATGCAATTGCAGGTGATGGCGTCATACTCCACTGCCTGGTCCATGGCCACCCGGATCCGCTGCTGCAGGGCGGCTGCGTCCAGTCCTCCCTTCCTCCGCAGCACCTTGGCTGGACCCCGTGTCCGCAGGAGGTGGCTCTTGCTGTGCTTGGCCACAATCCCCGATGGGAACGTCCCCGAGGTGCCTGTGGGGCAGACATGATGCTGTGGCCAATGCGTCTTCCATGGGGACATCCCCATGCCATGATCACCTCCTGGGGCTCACCTTCCAGGTGGATGATCTCCCCGTCACCGCAGTAGATGCCAGCGTGGGCGCCCCACCAGCCGGGGCCCCCCGAGGCCAGCGGGAAGAGGAAGAGGTCTCAGGGCTGTGCCCCGGCCACCGCCTGGGGACCCGTCCGTGTTTCAGGGCCACCGGTGCTCCAGGGACACTGCCAGCATCACCCAGCTGCTGGCTTACCCCCCATCCCTGGTGTCTTGGGCACAGCTTGGGTCTCCATGAATGGGAAACCCTCAGAGAAGGGGCCATCTCCTCTAGGTGCTGAGCACCCACGGGTGCTGAGGAAAAGGCTGGGTGTGCAGGGTTTGTCCCTTTTGTCCCGGGGGCAGACGGGTGGTGCGGGGTGCAGCGGTGCCTCTGACACTTACCTGCCTGGAGCTGCTCACCTGGAGGGACAAATGCCCAGCGTCAGCCCCGTGACGCTGGGGAGATGGGACCCAGGGCACCAATGTCATGGTGCAGCCCCTCCCTGGACCACTGCCACCCCCCTGCCCGAGGTCCCCGAGACCCCCAAACCTGTCGCACCCAGGAGCCCAGCCAGCGCCGGGGCTGGAGAAACGGCCCATCCGGGGCTCGCAGGGTCTGCACCAGGGCGCTCACCTGGGGAGGAAGAGGGGCAGAGCGAGCCTGGGACCCGTCCCCAGCTGGCGCCCATCCCCTGCTAGCAGCCATGTATGACAGCACCCACCCCTGCTAACACCTGTCCCCTTCTGGCACCCATCCACGCTAGCACCCATCTCTTGTAGCACCCAACCCCAGCCCACAGCAGCCTCCGAGGAACCCCCGTCACCCCTGCACCCCGAGACTCAGCACCGGGCAGGTCCCAGCTGTGGGGTCCATAGGCGGCAGGTGCCACGGCAGAGAGGTGGGACCACCTAGGTGCAGGTGCTCTCCCTGTCAGCTGCCCCATTACCTGGGCGAGGAGGTTCATCTGCAAGGAGAAAACATGACATCCTGAGAGCTGGGGACATGGGGCCGTGCCCAGCCCCACCTCGGGGAGCTCTCTGTCCCCAAATGGTTGCGGTGCCACGTCGCCATGCCAAAACCCAAGGCGCAGCCTCAGGCACTACGCCAGCCCTGGTGCTCATAAAGTGTGCCCGGCTCCCTTGCCTTGGGGATGTCTCCGAGGTCCCCTCGCTCCACCATGGTCCCCAAGCAGTCAGTGCTCCGAAGGTGGCCGCAGGGCAGGTCCTCAGCCCGCCCCAGCGAGCACTGCGGTGGCTCTTGGCACCCAGATGTGGTTCTACCAGTGCGTGGGAATGTGCCCAGACCACACCGACTGGCCCCACCATGGCACTGAGCCCGTCCCATCCCAGCACTTCAGGGCCAGTCCCTGGGCAGACAAATCCAACCTGGTGTGACATTTCATCAATGGACCCCTTTAGGTGACCCCAAGAGAGTCAGGAAACAGCCCGTGGTGGCCACCGGGATGGTGCTAAAACACCTCTTGCCCTTGAAGGTGGCCCAAGGGACAGCCACCAGCCTGTGTCCAGCCCGGTGTCCCCAGGGCGGTGTGTGCCCGCGGTCAGCCCTGGAGTCACATTAAATTTAATCCTTGCTACAGGGGGTCAGCAAAGGCCTTGGCAGGGCTTGGGGGTGGGTGAGTGGGAGCTGTCACCCTCTGTCATGGGCAACCTCCAAGGCATCATTTATCACAGAGCCTCCAATAAACAAGAGCTAATTACAGCTGAAACCCGAGCCTTGCAGGGACACAGCTCAGCACTGGGCAGCTGCGTTAACCCTTCCCAGCCACCTCCAGTCCCGTAGCCATCTTGCACCCTCCCAGACCTTCGTGTGTTCTTCTGTTTGCTCTTGTCCCCTCCTGATCCCCCCCATCCTCTCTTGGTCTCCATTGTCCGCTGCTGGTGTACCCTCCAGTTATCACCATCCCCTTCTGGTCCCTAGTGTCGCCTCCTGGTCTCCCCCACCCCCTCCTGGTCCTCACTAGTTGCTCCCTGGCTCCGTCATCATCTTCTGGTGCTCATCATCCCTCTAGGTCCCCTTGGACCCTCTTTGTCACCATTGTCCTCTTCCAGTCCCCATCTTCCCCTCCTGGTCCCCATCTTCCCCACGTGGTCCTTGTTGTCCTGTCCTGGTCTCCATCATCTGCTCCTGGTCCGTGCTGTCACATCCTGTTCTCCACCATCCATCATTGTCTCCTGGTCACCACCAAAACATCCAGATTCCCACTGTCCCCTCCTGATCCCCATCATCCCCTCCCAGTCCCCATCACCTCCTCCTGGTCCCCATCATCCCCTCCTGATCCTTGTTATCCTCTCTTCGTCCCCACCATCTCCTCCTGCTTCCCAATCTTTCTGCCCTGGTCTCCGTCACCTCCTCCTGGTCCCCATTACCCCCTCCTGATCCTTGCTGTACTCTCTTGGTGCCCACCATCTCTCTGGTCCCCATCATCTGCTCCTGGTCCCCAGCATCCTCTGCTGGTCCCCACCATCTCCCCTTGGTCCCCGTTGTCTCCTCCTTGTCCCCACCTTCCTCTCCTTGTCCCCACTGTTCCCTCCCCTTCCCCACCACCCCATGCCATCACCAGCGGGAGAAGGGCTGCCAGAACAGTGGTGCCTCCCTAGGTCACCCAGTGTCCCCAACTGAGCTGTCCCTTGGCCAGGGTGCACCTGCTGTCTCCCTGCGGCTGGTGGGATTAGGGTGGCTGGAGCCTTGGGGCTGTTCTCAACCACAGGTTTCAAGCCTGTCGGCAGCATCTTTGGGTAATTAGTAAATTAGTAATTAGATTCTCTCTGCCTGCTAGGGGGACGAGGGGGGAAGATCCTGGGGTTTTAGGCCGGGTAATCCCGTGGCATCTGCCCCAGCGTCTGTCACCGAGCTGAGTCATGACCCCACCGCGGGCTTTAACGTTTGCTCCTTCACGCCCGTCCCGCTGCCTGCAGCCCCTCAGCAGCGGCATCGGGCCTGCTCGGGGCGTTCCCCGACCGGGATGAGTAGACCCCCCCGGGGTGGTTGGGCGCTCATGGGGTGCTCAGCCCCGGCAGGGGGACAGGGTGCTGCTCCATGGGGAGCCCACCCTGGGGACAGCACCCAGCTGGGTGTAACGGAGAAGCAGGGTGGGAAACCGTATTTTTGTAATTATTGGCTTTCCTGGGCGTGCCAGTGATTGGCCTGCAGCAGATGGTTGGCCTGGCTAATCCCCCTCCCAAATCCCTGCTCTGGAGCTGGCTTTTACCCGACGGCGAGGAGGGGACGGCCAAATTAGCCGACTCAGCGTGTATCGCCACGCTGGCCACTCCCCGGCATCCCCCGGCACTGGGTGCCCATATCACCCATGGGTGAGCTGGCACCCTGGGTGCGGGTGCTCCCGACACCCCCGGATCGGGCCCAGGGGGTTGTTTCACCCATGGGTGCAGCTCTGCTGGAGGGTCTGGAGGCACCTAAGCTGCGGGCCAGGGACGGGCAGGGCAAGGTGACAGCTTGCTCCTGCCGCATTAGCCCCTCGTCATAATTCTGCCGAGGGAGGAGGGCGGCCACTGCCGCAGATGGCGGCTGTCAGAGATCTGGGTCCCGGGGGTTGGAGGGGTGCTGCAGGCAGGGGTGGTGGAGCCAGGATGCAGGCAGAGGTGAAGGGACAACGCTGCAGGCAAGGACGATGGAGCTGTGCAGCAGGAAGGGAGATGGAGCCATGCTGCAGGTAGAGGTGATGGAGCAATGCTGCAGGCAGGTGATGATGGAGCCGTGCAGCAGGCAGGGTGATAGCGCAATGCTGCAGGTGGAGGTGATGGAGCAATGCAGCAGGCGGAGGTGGTGGAGCAATGCTGCAGATGGAGGTGATGGAGCCATGCAGCACGCAAGGTGTCGGAGCAACGCTGCAGGCAGCGGGGATGGAGGCAGGATGCAGGCAGCGGGGAGGGATGATGGAGCCACGCAGCAGGCAGGGATGACGGGGGGTGGCCCCTGGCCCCACTGGTGTCACTGCCGCCAGCCCTCAGCAGGGACCCGCTGCCCGCGCCCGTG